AAATAATGAGTTATAAGGGTTTTAAATATACACAAATATATACAGTACACAAATGTGGATAAATGCAAATTGTTGAAAGACAAAGACAGTAAAAAGGGTTGTGATGATACAGAGAGACAACACAGACTTTATCCCAGCAGCCAAGTACTCAGTTACGTATTCAACAAAGTCATTCAAAAACACAAAGCAGGTTGTTGAATCTAGCTCAGAACTCAAGAATGTTTTTCGAAGAAGGCCTCAAACCTTTTCAATGCTCTCCTTTTTTGGCTTTTTGACTCAGTGCGCACTCTCCTTTGGAATTATCCTCCTCTTTTGTGCCAGATGGGCAATTTGAAATATGGTTACTGCATGCTGAGCAGCCGCCCACACACTGTCTTCAACATTGCCACATGTGGCGAGATTACCTGTAACACGACTCGTATTATATACGTCATTCCAGGTCCTTGTCACGAAGTTTAAAACTTTCCATGCATTGTCATCTGTGACTTTGTTAGATTAGATTTAAACAGTTATTAAGTTACAGCATCATTATATCTTGAAAAGATTCAAGACAGTTATTCTTAGTGATCTCATTGTGTGTTGTTATCTTGCTTTATTGAAATGGCCGGGCTGGCTGCATCCGTGCTACATGCAACGCATGATTATGTTCACAGCGAACTGCGTGTTTTAACCCAAACCGCCATCTTCTCTTATGAATCCGCAACATCTTATGGCGTTGCAATGTTGGGATCTGGTAGGCTGGCTGTCTTATTACTGTGAAAACCACCTGAAAATATTTTTTTTATTTTATTTTCATAGAGTAGCAGACTATAATGATGTCATCTTCATTCATCTGTATTCCTCCAACTTGACCCACCTTCCCTCACACAGCGGGAGATAAAAACCCTCATGACTGATGGACCTGCTGGCTATTTGGACATCTGTCTTTTCCCTCAAAGCGCTGGCATGGAGAGGTCTGGGTACAGTGTGACAGGCTTTTGCAACAGCGTGTCCTAAGAGCGGGTAGTGAAATCTCTGTGGCCTAAGCCTCAGAGATCAGCCATTAGTAGGTTGTCAATCTGGCAACCACCAACAGTCTTCTGGGCAGGTAGGAGGGAGATTCAGGCCACGGCTTCCAACAAGGTGAGATCATTACAATCCAGATAAATTTAGCTCCTGTGAGGGCTCGTGCTTCTGAATATGACACAATTATTATAGTTGTGTGGTAATGGAGTCAAGTGAGTACAGTATAAAAGTATACTGTATATTGACTTGACAGCTGTGTCCCCAGAAGGCTCTGAGTTCTAAACCTGGGTCATATTCGACATTAATGAACACATGATCACCAATAATGAGAAGCTGAAAGGCGTGCCTGAATGTTTCTCCTTTAATTCTGTGTACTAGGTTCCTAGTAGTCGCAAATTAGGCTTTGTGGCTAACAGGGTGTTACTCTTAGAAACACTCGCACTCTAAATCCACCTTGATGGGATTTATTTGACTCATGGCTTACACCTAAAAGTATGCAAATAGAGCTTCATTAAGGATAAACAAAAAAACAGTCACCGTGAGACAAACTTGTGTTTAAAATTGAGGTATTGAGGTAATAAAGTAAAACATAGGGACATTTTCTCAGACACGTAAAATCAGATAACTTTTGGTATCCAGAGGAGGAAGTTAAAGGCCTTTCTGCATCGCGTTTACTTTTCAGACTTTTGTGAAAAGTTGTGAAAAAGTTTGTGACCTGGACATCACCAATGATTCAGATTAACAAGAATGGGAGATAGTGGGCTTTCTCGACGGCCTTGTAATACTACGTGTTTGGTTTGAAATTAATTGTGTGGTACAAAATAAATGTCAGGTCACACTTTTAAATACTTTAAAAACCTTCTTTTCTTATATATTTTTCTTTCTTTGCAATATGTTGCCCTCTTCTTTCAATGGTTATGTTTTCTTCTGTGCCTTTCATACCATTTCCCTCTGGAAATAAGACATTTAAAATCCCTTTTACGCAACACTCAGCTTATCATCAACCAACCATACTCATACGCAGTGCAACAGTTGTGTTGAATGAACAACGTATCTTCCTTTAGTCTTGATATACAATTACCTTGTATAAGGGCTTATGTTTCATACATAGGCTGACAATTACATTGTTTTAAGGGTCAAATGAGTTCCTATAAAAAGTCTCAGAATATTGTGGCAGACAAAGTAAAAGGGAATTTTCTAATTTAAACCAAAGACCAACAGAATTTATGAAAGTCACAACTTCAATGATCCCAGGAGTATATTATTTCTACTAATGAAAAAGGCAACTTGTCACGTGTCACCACCACTTCCAGGCTAATGACTGTGTAATGGCCCCATTCATCCATTTAGCCTCATTGAGTTCTATGCAATGCTAGCACCGCTAGGTGCTTTGCCTGTCGGTGGAAGCTTCAATCACTTGACAGCAAGTGGACCAGTTGAGCGCTAAGCTGGCTGGGACTGCAGTTGATGGAGTGCTGCCAAAATAGATCCCAATTTTATAGTTTTCTACCTGCTTGGGTTTTGAGCTACAATAAAAATTTGAAATCGTTGCATGATGTCAAGTATACGAGAACGTTAAACGTTTAGACTCACAGGATGATTCGCTGTGCAACTTGTAATTTTATGTCCTGTTTTACTTTAAAACCAAATTGGAATGGCGGGTGACATTGTCATTAATTATTTTTACACACTAAGTGGGCTACACGCTCGCCCTCTTAAACAATATTTTTGAGGTGGTTTGAAATGTGATTCCAACTCCATCTCAGTCTGGTCAATCTAATTGGTCCAAATTGTAATCAATTGTCCTGAGGACTACATGTCCCCACCAGTCAGGACTTGTACCGCACACCTTAAGCTAAACAGATAAACCTGCCATGACTGTTGAATGGAACATCCTAATATACTAACCTCTACTAACCTCCTGCACCACACATTTACAGCATGATTGTTTGCAAAGGCAAAAATGTATGATCTCCATCTCTCATGCTTTAGCGTCGCTTGTGACGAAGCTATATAGATACAGACACCTTCCTCGATGCCACGGCCACCCACATAGATGGATTGGTGATAAATGGACACACAAATGATAAGTCAGTCTTTAAGATCTAATTGGAGATATTTCCGTAGAGTCTAACATGTAGCCTAATTTACTGCAGCTCTAGTCTAATCTGATAGTGTAATTGTTTATTATTTTTATGATTGGTAGGGTCATCACTCGTATCAATTAATTGTGATACTACTTGTAAATAATTTGACACAAATAACAACCAAAACATAACCCCCGCAAATAAAAAACGTTTTAAAAATGTGGCTTTGAGAAGAACTTTGGATTGACCACATATTGAAATGAGGCTGTTTATGTTAGAAAAGGTTTTCTCTATTGTAATACTTTTACAAAAGGTGAAGAGTATAGACTTAACAATAGTAATAATCACACAGTATGTGGGCTTTTCCTAGATGTCACTTTAGAATAATGACAGTAATTTTACTCCCACTAGAACAAAAATTACCGGGTCTCTAGTTGAGTTTGGCTTTATATGGATTCAAATTTCTTTGATCTGTAATCAACAAAGAAAATCTTTGTATTATTATATTGCCACCTTGCCAGCTGAACAGCCTGTAAAGCAAGTGGTGAATAAGCTCGTATCAAACTAGTACAATGAATATCATTAAGCAAAAAAAAAATGAATAATGGATGTATGATTCATACACTACTATGTCTAACGCAGTAGTTGGGATGTTTTTATATGATTACTCAAAATGATGCCCAAATGTCTTAGTAAGTTTCCAACATGTTGGTATTATTCTCAGACCATTACTGTTTTCAAGATTCCTCAGTGCCAGAGCCAGGTTGGTATCAGTGATTGTTAGTCTTCAAATGCAATTCCACCACAACACGTTTTACTTTCACACCAAAAAGCTGTTAAAATATATTCTTTGATATTAATTGAAATCTAAATCTATAGTTTATTTAGTCCGTCTTAATAAGTTTTCAAGCCTTTCTTTCAGTTCTTTCAGTGCCCAAACAATATGTATAGTGAAGAAACTCAGAAGATAGAATTGGAATAGAACATATTCAATCTTATGTTGTCCTTCAAAAAGGGACAAAAAAAAAGAGTATGAACTCTAACAATACTGAATCCAACCTTAGAACATCTGGTATTTGCATGGAACTGTAGAATGTATTCTTCAAAGCAGGTTGTCAGAAGCGGCACATTTGACAAAGCAGTAAATTCTATGGCATTGTCCTTGGTAAATGGACTCGGGAGACATAACCTTTTATTGAGCCTTTCTTGGCCTCCGACAAAGCGCTGAACGGTACATGACGGCATCCTCACACCCGCGCGCGTCCACGGCAGAACTTCTCTACCTTCTCAGCACCATGGACAGCAAACCAACAGATCCCGTTGGGTTTCAGAGACATGTAGTCCTACCAACAGAAGTTTACCCTTATCTCTGTGTTTCAGCACCATGGACAGCAACAACGTGATGTCCCCCTTTGGTAACGTTTCAAAAAAACATAATTTGTTCCATTCACACTTTTAAGCTACTTTTGGAGATAAGCAGAGTCCACAGAGCATTGGCTGTGCGTGTGTGTGTGTGTGTGTGTGTTCTTCTAATTGTACTTTAACACACCGACACAGTCACGTTGACATGTACGCGAAGCACACAACCTACACGTGGCACGTGCATTCACCGCCTTCACTTTTCACTTTCAATTTCCCCCCCAAAATCTGTCATACCCAAAATCAGGAGGCGGATCTGCCGTCGCGCTTGGATTCCCCCCCCCCGTCGATCGGACACGGTCACGCTTGTTTGTGGCGGTCAACCGGCAGCCTTATTGTTGTAAACCGTTTTCCCCGTCATCAAAGAAAAGTCACGACACTTCTTCTTATCCTCATCCACCCTCAGCCTCCACCCCTCCCCGACTGCCATGACCGTCCTCTATAATACGAGACTGTGTTCTTTGTACCTCCCCCTTTTTCTCGCCCTCAGTCTGTGTATCCCAGCCTCCCCTTCCTAGACATCCATCCCACACCTCTCCACCCGCAAACGACTCCTACGGGGAGGGGAGAGAGAAAAAAAAAAGAAAAAAGAAAAGAGAACGGAACAGTTTGAAACACGTCGGCATAAATCTCACATCCAGAGCTCCCTCTTCTCCTTCCCCTCCTGACGGACTTCATTACTTTATTCCTCTGCGCGCCGATGCCCGAGACCACGCCGAAGCGAAGGATTTTCTCCCCTTGAGCATGAAAAGGATTGCAAAATCATCCGCAATTCAACATCACCGGCTGAGCCACCAGCATGAGCACTGGATACGTATGCTCCAGCAGAAGTTGTTGGCTAGAGAACTAACCCGTCTCGGAGCACAGATACAGCTAAGAGGGGAGAGTCAGTTTTAGGTAAGTCCGGTTATCCCGTCATGGAGCAGTAACGTGGTATGAGGGTTATCCAGCTTATACGTGTGTGTTTTTTATTTTTTTGTCTTCTCTTTTTCTGTTCATCGATGACCACGAGGCAGTAGTTTGGTAAGCAGGGCTATATATTGTGTCGATGTTGCGTGGTCAGCACGGTGCCGATGTTAGCCGGTGATGTCCTTCTAAGGATGGAGGCACATTTGTTTCGTCTCCTCTGTGAAAGCTAACCTTTTTTTTTTTTTTTTTTTTTTGAAACAGTCGGGCGTTCAAGTGCTGCCAAGCTCCGCCAGGACTGAATGTCGACGGAGCGTCGAGAGGCTATTAAAAAATAACACCGGGACTCTCGTAATCTTATAAACCCATCATCTCCGAACATTATGCAAATGAGTTATCCTCCCGATCATGTGCGCTCGACCGCGTTCTCTCTGCGCACGTTGCCGAGGACCGCATCCTCCCGCCGTGATGGTGCAGAAGTGCGGATTGGATTGAGGGGGGGGGGGGGGGGGGGAGAGCGTCAAGCTATTGGCACTGAAAACGAACACGGGATTTAAAAAAAAAAAAAATTGTTTAGAGAGACCATGCTCTACGGTCGCAACACTCAGGAGGTGCAGGTGCATAAGCGGCCCTTCAGCTCCCCGTGCAGTCCGCATCCATCAACGTTTTGTCTCAAGCTCATTTTCAGTCACTATTTTACATGAATGTTGATCAATTCATCCCGGACACTGTATCGTGCTTAACTAAAAGTCAGTGTCGGATATCAGGTTGTGTGAAGAGTTGCGCGTCATGCATCCTCGTCATCGTTTCTTAATAATATTTCTGTAGATTTCCGTGTTTTTGGATGCATCTGGAATGAATTCCGTGGAAGGCTGCAACGGTGCTTTTGTGAACGTGCAGATGTGTGCTGTACGTGGCTCTGCGAGCGCGTACATGTGCGCGTGGACACCCTCACACACACACACACACACACACACACACACACACACACACACACACACACACACACACACACACACACACACACGCGTGACACCGGTGAGGCAAAGTTGCCGTTCCGTGTTCCCTCAAGTTGTTTTGATTGCTGTTCCACTGACAAACTGCGAGGGGAGCTCATGCTCTTTTACACCAGGTGTCACATCGTGGCTGAAGGCGAGATAACGTGATGCTGATACCAACTCTATGAAACGAGAGAAGCGCCTTCTGTTCGAATTTGGTCCCGAAGCAATTTTGTGCACCCCCATAATCGCCACTGCAGGTTTTTTTTTTTTTTGGTGTGTCAACACAAACTCTTTGGAAACTCCGAGTTCTAAACGCGTAATTTGTGCGCATATGTGCAGACAAGTGGTAGTTTATGCATTTACGCTCGCAAGGTTCACACCACAAGCTATTATTCCAAATTTTAAAAAAGATTCATAGGACCAACCGAAATATGATATAGCTTTGCCTTTGAAAGAGATTCTGTGTGGCAACACAACTCTGAAAGAATCATCCAATACTGAATGAAAAGATACATTTGAGCTTTAATGTTTGGCCTTGACGTTCTATTGGCAGTTCATCAATGCATAGTTCAGTATTCTTTGGCGTTCTTCTCCGTGTGCAGGACAGACAATTACATTAGCAGTGGAAATGGCAGAAGAAAAGATGCTTCTTTTTTTCAGTATGCCTCTTTCAATCTGCTGGCCTTTTCAATCGTAAGAGCCCCGGCAACATGTAATCATTTTCAGAGGGAGAGCTTTCCACATCACATAGCCAAAATGAAAATGCCACCAGTAGCTCAAAGCTATATTTGTGTCATGGCTTTGGACCACCAGATGTTGATGATGCTTTCAAAAGACAGTATTCAGCAGCAGAGCTTTTTTCTTTTTTTTTTTACAGTCTATGGCTTTGCAACTTATCGATGAATTATCTATGAAGCATGTGGCAGCGATTCTTGACACGCAAGGAGGAAAAATCGCTCAAGTCAATCAAGGAATGGCTGATACAGTATATGCATTCACTTTTTGCGGTGAATATAGATAAGGATGTTATGTACAAACTGTCCTTGTGGTGGACAGAGAGCAGTACCAGTGATGCATTGGCAGAACCCACCTGCTCTTTCCCGTCACTGTCTTTTGTGTTGTTGTATTGGCACAGCATTGTTTTAATGTGGGAGCTGGCTTGCAGCTGCAGCGGATAGAAGGCTGCCTCCCAGGAGGTTCAAAAAAGAAGAACGAAAAAAAACCCTGTTTGTATCAGAAAATACAACAATAGGGTCACAAAATGACACGAGGCAAAATCTCACAGGCCCCTGTGCCTGCTTACAATGTTTTGGAGTGACAGCTGATCATTTGAACCCTGCGAGGGGCTGTCTGACCCGTGTGCTGCTGCTATCAGTCCCACCAGACCACATGGAGCTGAACTGCACATTGTAAAGAGGGAGGTTTAAAAAGAATTGTCACGTGGCAGCTGAAGTGGTTCATTACGTTCTTGCACACCAACTCCAACCACGTTGAGCCGTGATTAACAATTCCAGTAGGAAAGTTTGTCTTTATTTTTATTCTCATTTCTTTCAACAGTCGTCTTTAAAAAAAAATTGAAAACCTTTATGTGAATACCAGTCCTGTCTCCCCCATGCAAATATCAGAAACTGCACCCAAACACTGACTGAAACATTTTGGAAATTCAATTTGGCATTACTGCTTTTCGGCGGTTTTGTTTTAGTTCCCGGAGCCACACGTTTCCGGGCTCTTTGTGAATCTTCGGGAAGCTGAAAGCGGGCTCAGAGAAGCATCACAATGGTCTTAATTGCGTTGTTATAAACTATTTTGGCATTCAACTCTCACACAATTCGTCACGTGACTGCAGTGGCTTCCGTCCAGCCTCTCTGCGTCTCCCTCTTTCTCTTCGTTCACAGCAGGAAAACACAATCTAATTGTGTGAGCAAAACACAAGCACCATTTTATCATACAATCAAGAGGTGAACTGCACATCGAGAGTTAGCGAACAAAAATGAATTATCTACCGGACTAATGTGTAAATGCACTTTCAGATCCTGAAATTGAAGCCTGTGCCTGTTTGCCTCCGTCTGACTGCTGATGAACCTGAATATGAAGTTATGTAAAAACCATGAATTATTAAGTCCATTTGAAGGAGCTGTATTTTAGAGTTATGCAATGGAATAGTAGTTTTGGAACAATTTCTTGTGTTGTGTTTTTAGTTTAGCGTTTGTCATGAAAAAGTACTGCAATAATTTGACCGCTATCCAAACAGCAATGGTTGGTGAATGTTTGAGTCAAACGAAATCCTTCTTACGTACTATATCTTCAGATTTCTTCTATTATTCATCTTGACCTAACATTTGGTGGGTGCCATGTATAGAAAAGTGATGCTAAATTCTCCCAGTGTCATTGAGCACTGCCAAAGAGCTGCGTTATTTCAACTTAAATAAATGCCAGCTGTGACAACACAGTAATAACTACAGTAACTGATCTTAATGGTCAGGGGATGGCTGGGGATAGCTGTGGTTACACATCCATTTGAGTTTGCCGGCCAGTGTTACAGAGAGCCGAAGAGGGAGAGAGATGTTTTGATTTGCTGTGGTCTTTCACATCACTGAACGGTAGAAGATTGCACTGGCTGGCGATTACACTTTTACCTTTTAACTTAATTTGCTTCACTGTTGCCTCCCATACTTCCTTCAGCAATGTAATTCGATCTAGTCCAGTCTGGAAGTTGTGTCTGAGGTATAAATACAACTTAGGACTCAGTGTTCAGCTGGAGCCCAACTTTAACACTTTCGAAATATGTTACTTCTCACTAAAAGAATGTCATTGTTGGATTCTACCAAATCCACTTGCGAGAACTGAGTCACGTGAACGCTCCTTCAATCATTAGTTACATACGCTTTATTAAGAATGCATTGTACGAATACCGATAATGTAAAAGGTGTAGCTGGCAGTGACTTACCATCTCTGCATTCCCCCTCCCTCCTTCCCGTTTACCCTCACAGATCCAACAGGCTGGTTTTTAGAAGAAGAAAAAAAAGATTAGCCCTAAATGATTAAGTGTGATGTCTTTGGTAGATATTTGAAAAACAGTGTAAAAGCTGTAGCTGCACTGTGTGAGTCTTTGTCTTTATAATTGGTTCAGGTCAATTTAAACGGACAAGGCTGTGATGGGAATTTCACATCTTAATAAAATTGAGCCTCTCTTAGAAATCAATTTGCAGGTTAGGATGTCTCTGGACAATTGTCAGTGTGATGTTGCAGGGAACCCATTTTCAAGGATTTAAAGAGGTTGAAACGGACTAAGTTGGAAATAAAATGACCAAAATGTGGGTCTGTTTGATGTTCATGTTCAACTACAGGAGGGCCGCAAACTTGCCTCGCCACTTATGCTTTGTTTCATGGTCAAAGTATGATAAAGTGTGTCTCTGAGGCAGTATGTCTTCATTACTAAAGCACACAAACCAATAATGGGATTTTGTTTGGATGTAAACCTTATTTTGCATCAATTAATACATGTCTAATTGATAGTTTTAATTGTGTCTAATCCTGGACATCCACATTTACTTCTCTAAACAAATCTAAAGCTTATATATATAAATGTATTTCTATGACTCAGCTAAGTCTCTGCCAGTGTTAAATAGCCTCAATTTAAGATGTGCACAATCATGGGAGAATAATCATTCTGAGGAATTTTAATTAGGCCTCTCACAGAGCAGGTTTAATCTTTTCCTCCCATCGTCATGCTGACTAGCAAGCGAGAAGCACTCTCTGCTGAAACATTTTAGGTACCTCCAATTATTCCTGAAGAATAAAGAAACATTTGCTAAAACATTTCAAATAGTCTGCATAGCATAATAACCAGCCGCGATGCAAATGAGAAGCTTCTATTTTCAGTGCAAATTGTGTCCCAATTTCAAAGAATTGACCAGCTGAGGAGTCATTAGGGAGAGAGGGTGGATTCATTGACTGACCCATGACCAATGTGATGCTGGTGAGTCAATG